AATGCCCCAAGCCAGTCTTGATAGCAAAAGTACAATCAAATTGACAGGGCCATGCCCCCTCGAAGGTGTTACGAGTGAACAGGATAGCGATAGCATCCCTATAAGCCTAGAAAAGCCTTGATTATGCATGGACGTTGCCGGTAAAAAGGATTTACTTTTCTGGACACTAGTACGAGTCATTCTGTCTTGAGATTTTTAACAACTTTCTTTCCAGCAATGACCTGAAAAGACAAAATAGTGAGCTAATTTTATAAAACATTTATAACTTCATAAATGTATGAGAATGATTGTATGAAATACCATGTGAATGAAGGAAAGAGTGAAAAACCATGTACATGAATTTTATGGGCAAACGAATATAAAATACAATTTTTTTCTAATCCAAATACTTGGTACCAGAGGTCGATATTTGATATCAATGATATTGTTTGATAAGTTTCACATTCTGTCAGGTCACCCCTTTTGGATTGGGAACAATTATAGATTTCTTCCAGTTCTGGCCAGGTACATGCCCTCCAGATTCCTTGGTGTAATTTGGTAAGCACGTTTAGGTGACATCTGTCTGTTTAAATATGTCAATTGATATTCCATCAGTTCTTTTTTATTTTTTATTAATTTTAATGAATATTTACAGAGATTTTGGATATCCAGTCATTCATTGATATTCCATCAATTCTTGGAGTCTTGTCCTTTGTCACCTCCTTCAGTGCAGCTTGAATGTCCTCCTTCATCTTCATTGCCTCTTTTTTTTTTAGTCAATTTTTTTTAAATTGTAATGAAAGATTACAGAGACTTAGGGTTTCCATTCATTCATTGTTGCACTTTTCTCTCTGCCCACCCCCCCCTACTTCATTGTCTCTTGATCATATGTTGTATCATGAAATTCTATGTCAGTCATATTTTTGTGCTCTAGAAACTCCATATACTCCATCCATCTTCTTTTAATGCTTCCTGGATCATTCAGTATTCTGCCCATAGCATACTTAAGTATTGCAAAGTGAGGCTTGATTTTGTTCTCAGTTCTTTAAGAGTAAGAAATACCAAGAGAGTTTAGACCTTTTTGTTTTCTGACTCCAGCTCTTTGCACATTTCATTATAATGTTTTTTTAAAGGTAGCATTGTTTTGCGTTTTGTTTTTTCTGGTTGTGTGCCGTCAAATTGGATCTGATCTTTGTTAGTGTTCAAGGCCTCAAACCTGTTCTTGAGGTGATTTTTAAGTTCTGGTGGAACATACTCAAGGGCAAATTTTGGTTCTTGTGGATTTGATTTAATTAGTCTGAAGACTAAAGTACGCCATGGTCCTCGCAGTTACTTGCTGTGCTTCAGAAAGCTGGACAGTGACCAAAGATGACAGAAGAGGAATTGATGCCTTTGAATTGTGCTGGAGAAGAGTCTTAAATATACCATGGACTACCAAGAAAATAAATAAGTCTTATCTTTGAGAGGGTGAAACCAGGTTTCTTCTTGGAGGCTGGGATTCACGTACTTTGGACACGCGGCCAGGAGAGACCTATCCTTGGAGAAGGGCATCATGCTCCGAAGGTTGGTGGGACACAGTGTAGTAGTGGAAGACCCTGGATGAGATTCATTGACACAGTAACAGAGGTAATGGGGATAGATGTGTCAGAGTCAGTGACACCGGCTCAGGATAGAGGAGAGTTCAGAGGAAGTATGCATAGGTTCACGATGAGTCACAGGTGACTCAATGTGACATAACAACAACAGTAAGCAGCTGTAAGGAGACTGGGAAAGTCTGTAGTCAGGTACCTTTGGAAATTACTGAGGAGCAGTGATCTTAGTTTGTTTAGTTAGATGAGTCTGTTTCAGGACACGGTCTTTCTAGTCACTTCTTGTGCATCTGAGAGCTGGACAAGGACTAAGGATGACAGAAGAGTCATTGATGCCTTTGAACTATGGTATTGGAGAAGAAGGTGCAGCCATCGTGCTCCTTGTAAGCAAAGATGATGGAAGCTTTGTCTCACATATTTTGGGCATGTTGGTAGGAGAGGCTATTTATTCCTTGGAAAGGGGCATCACACTTGGAAAGGTGGAGGGATGGCCAAAACCCCCCCTTAACTCTCAACCAGATGGATTGAAAGTGACTGGGCCATGGCCATGTTGGTGATTGTAAGGATGGAAACAGGATATGATAGGGTTCATAGGGACACTATGAGTCATACTCAACTCGATAGTGTCTAAGAACAACTACCGTTTTTGGGTTTTGTGCCCAAACTGTTCCTGATTCTGTTTTGAAACTTGGGATGTACACTCTGTTGCCTGGAGTTATGTAGATGGTTCCTGTGGGTTTCGGTTGCTTTGCCGAAATAACTCTGTGTTTTCAGATTTGGGAGATTAAAAGAGAATTTTTTTGTCATGATAATATTCCCATAAAAACTATTTGAAAGAGTACAATTCAATTAATTAAGTTCGTTCACAATGTTGTACAACCCCACACCCATGTATATACTTAGTCCCTGATTCCTCCCTTCCTCTCCAACCCTTAGTAACCACGGAAATAATGTACCCCCATATAGAACACATATGTACTCATAAATGTTTGGTGTGCGTGCAGTTGCCCAAAAAATTAATGCATATGTTATGTACAAATATGGTAATTACTTTCTGTCTTCTGTGCATTTGCCTATTCTGGACATTTCAAATCAATGGAATCACTCAGTTTGTTTTCCTTTGTTTTTGTCCGCTACTTTGACTTTCCTCACTGGCAATTTTTTTGCCTATTCCCTTAGCAAATGTTTGTTAAGGGAAGCTAGACGTGTGGATTTTGATGGGGCAGGATAAAATATTCAGCTTTTCATGTGGCAACTATTTCATACTAAAAGGGAAAAAAAAATTTGTATAGTCTAGCAGCAGCCAAGTGTGTGTCCTGTTTGGCCTTTGATTCCCTCAGTTTGTAACTTTAATTCTTCTCATTTACTGCTTGTTGTGGTTGTTGAGTATCATCGAGCCAGAACCATTCCAGAGCTGACCGTTTTCAGAAGCAGTAAATCACACTGGAGTTGATTTCTCATATGTATCCTGCTGGTGGATTCAAACCCTTAACAGGGTTGGCAGTGAGAGTCTTGGCATATCATTCCAGAAGTCACTGGAGGGGGATTGTGTATGGTAGAGTGAAAAGCCCTTAGCATCTCATGCAAGTTTTGGCATTACTTGGTTACAGGAAGGAATCTAGTGTCGTTTTCTTGTGCCCTCTACACTGCTGTTAGAGAAAAGGGTTGCAGTTCTCAGGAACACAGCTTCATGTGCAGCAAGGCCAAAAAGAGATGCTTGTGGTCACAATTTTTAGTGTTGTTGTTGTTTTAAAATAAAAAAAAATTATTGATTTTAATGAACATTTACAGAGACTTTGCATTTCCATTCATTCCTTGTTGGGTTTTCTCCCTGCCCACCACTCCCCTTTATTTTCCTTTTTGATGAAGGCTTATTCAGCCATAGGTTTCCCAAATCACAAGACACAGGTTCAGTAACATTGGGTACACTCTTCACAATGCTCTTTCGATCTCGGTTTTGACTGTTCTATTTTGATTATTTGGTTGGCGTAAGAATGAGAAAAACTGGATAAATTATACTGCATTGAAGCTGATGAGAGAGAGAACAGTTTAAAAGTAACATAATGAGGAAGAAAACAGTTTAAAAGTAATATATTTTAGGGCATTACGATTATCATAAGAGTTTGGAATGACGGTTGCAGAGTGGAGTATACTCGTGTGAGGGTGGGAGGGTGCAGGGGGATTGTATACCAATGAAGGAGGGTTTTTTTGCTTTTCAAGAAGAGCAAAGTGGGGGTGGGGTGGGCGGGGAGAAAAGTGCAACAATGAATGAATGGAAATCCAAAATCTCTGTAAATGTTCATTGAAATTAATAAAAAATAATAATAATAAAAATAAATAAAATCTCTATGCATATCAAAAAAACCCCAAAACCAGTAATGACAAATGAGAAGAATGAAGGTGTCAGAGACCATACTGGAAGCCTACTTGGCCTTTGCTGGCTTGTACAGACTTTTTTTTACCTAGTAGTAAATACTCAGAGGTTCTTTATTTGAAAAGCCAGTTTACTTTTCACTAAAATGCGACCTCAGTACCTACTTTTCAGTATATGATAAAAGATTATCTCAAGACAGTAAACTCTGTAAGTCCCCAAGTCCCGGAAGTCTTTTTTTTTTTTTAAGGGAATTTGAGATTCTTTTCCCCAATTCTGTTAGGGCCATATAGTTGGTAGTGGTAGCCAGACACCTCCTCATTCTTTTTGTCTCAGGGTTAGAAGAGGAAGTGCTTCATCCTTCTGTCATATTTTATTTCTTAATTTCATTCACATTTTGGCAGAGCAGGTTTGCACGAATATCTGTAGCAGAAGAAATTGCATTTAGCTGCTTTTGGAGTCTTGGGGAACTTGTGAGGGTCATTCTTATTTCTGCCTTTGGGTTGTAATGGGAAAGAGGTGGGTGGGGCCTCACAGTGCCAGGTCAGATGGCCAGCCCATATGGAATTGTTCAGTTTCTACCACTTAAAAACTGGTTTGTAAGTGTTAACCGATTAATTGTTTTTCGGATGCATCCTTATTATTTAAAAAACCCTAGAAAATTTTTTAAGTAATTTATGCTACCCACTAACCGTGTTTGCATATTCCCTTTCTCATCTTCATTGATTAACTTAAAGGAGAATCTCATTGCTTGGCTTTCTGTTTGCTTTTCTTTGATTCCCAGATTGCTGAATTTTTTGTGTTGCATTCCCTCCATTTTTGTTGATATCCGTCTGTCTCAAAATGGGTTCTGTTATTTCTGGTAGCTTCCCTTGCTCTCGTGTGACCTGGTGATCTGCGAAGCCTTGCTTTGCAGAGTTGAGTGTGTGGAGCCCAAGATAAAGGACCTAAAGTAATGCTGGCTAGTCATTGCTCAGATTCCATTAGGATGTTCAGTCATTGACCACATTGTCTTGTTCTGACCATCTTGCCGCCTTCTCTTCCTTTTATCTTTCCTCCAGCTGATGGCGAAACCATTCTAAAAGGCCTCCAGTCCATTTTCCAGGAGCAGGGAATGACGGAGTCGGTGCATACCTGGCAGGACCATGGCTACTTAGCAACGTACACCAACAAAAATGGCAGGTGAGGTGGCCTTGTGCCAGGTCTTGGTGTTTCTGGAAGATCACAAGAGGGACAAGGATGGTGGGTGAGGTCTAGATATATCTGCTTTATTACCCCCTTATTCAGTGATTCTCAATTCTAGATGTGCATTAGAATCTCATGGGAGAGCTTTAACAAACTACCTAGGTTTGTACACACATGCGCACACCTGCACCCCTCTTTTCCTCAAGTATCTCTACATTTTATTCTGCTAGGCCTGGGCATAAGTATTCCTTCCCAAGTCATCTAACTGATTGCACGGTGTGCCTAAGGTAAGAGTTCAGACCAGCAGGGACTCAGTGCAGGTCACCTCTTCTACAGACTTCCAGATGAGGCTCTTGCTTCTAGTGTAGGGGGCCGTGCTTCATGTGGCACTGGGACTATCAGTGAATGCAGACCACAGTAAAATGCTAGATGGTACAGTCATGATTTTTTTTCGACAAGAAACTGAACTGAGCTCAAGTGATTTATTTTTTTTTAAATATCTTAAAAACTGAACTTGATTTAGTCAGTGTGAGGTAGAATGGAGTATTCTGAGAGTAGGGAAGAAAGGCCAAGTTGATGAGTCCAGAATAAAGGCTGCTAGTGGAGTGGACTTGGGGGAGGGCTGGTATAACAATGAAAGAATTACTCTTTGACTTTTCAAAGAGAAGAACAAACTGGAGGGGAGGGGTGGGCAGGGAGAAAAGGGCAACAATGAAGGAATGAGTGGAATAAAGTCTCTGTAAATTTTAATTAAAATTAATATAATAATAATTTTAAAAAGACACGTCAGGTCAAAGACCTTTTTGTGTGCTGGGATATCTTGCCATTCTACCATGACTAGTATGCCAAACTATTCGTAATTTTTAGCACTTTGCACTGTTAGGTTTTGGGTGTTTTTAATTATTATTTTGTGAGTGTGTACTGTCAAATCAGATCTGACTGGTACAGGAGGAGATTGTCCCCCCAGCAGAACACTGTTAGTTTTAAAATGTGAACTCATTCATGTCTTTGATGGTTTTAATTCCTCTAATGAGTGCAAAGTTCTCAAATTCCTTATGGCTTCCTCTTCTTTTGTGTTCCTATTAAAACAAGAAGAAAACCCCCCTTCACATCCCTCCCATCTGACTAAATCCCAGAAGACTGTGCTGAAGGATGAAGGAAAGAAGAGAAATTTCTGCTTGTTGAACATCTACTCCTCCCCATTCCCTTTGGACGTCTGCTGTGGTCTACCTCATGGCAATAATTCTTGTTGTCTCCCTCTCCTCTCACACACAGCCCAACTCTTCGTTGCCCAAGCCCAGGCTTGTATTGCTAACTATGTACCAAACCTCCATGGACGTGTTTAGTACAAGTGTACGTGAAATGTTTTTCTTCCTCAAGGATGATCTGAAATCATAACTACCACAACCAGCACCCCAACCACACCTCTCCTTTGCCCTCTCTCACATTCTGTTGCAATGTTTTCTTTTCGGCCTTGCTCACTCAGAGCCAGCTTCTCTCCACAGCAAATTGTGACAGCTTGTCACTGTTCTCTTGGCGGGGCTACTCTTACTCCTAGAAACCTTATATATTCTACCATTTGCTCAAGGATTGCAGTCTCCTCCTGTGCAGTTCACTGCCTCTGAAACCACTGGGGGATCAGCTGCTGGTCAGTTCCAAATCGACCGTACACGGATGATAAGCTGTTGGTCAGTCTCAAGTCAGTAAACAACAAAAAGGCCTTTGCTGCTCTGGTCCTATCAGCCTTACTGCCTCTCCCTCAGTTCTTGAAGTTTCTACCACTTCCAGTCATACTTAAAATTCTTTAAGTTAGACTTAAATTCTTTCCAGAAGGGAATGAATATTTGAATGTTACTTTGGAAAGCAGGAAATATAAAAACAAGCATGCACCTCCAGAGTGCCCTTGACCTTTCCCTACCCTGCCTGGACCTGTCACTACAAGTCCTTTTGTGACTGGCCTTCCAGTGCAGTGGTCGTGGCCCTCTTGTGAAGCTGAGTGGTTTCAGCCAGGTCCTCGCCCACTTTTTTTGTTTCATTTCCCTTGACAAGTCTTTGCTTTTCTCTCTTTCTCTTTGATATTATCGTTAAGTGCTCTCATTCTTGAGATAAGTCTTTTTAGCCTACCTTTCAGTGTTGTCTGTGGTAATGTAATTCTCTTGGGAAAAGGCTCTCTTTGCTGTTGACAGGGTGGCATCTGTAGATTGTGTGTGTGTGTGTGTGTGTGTGTGTGAGAGAGAGAGAAAGGGAGAGAGATGGGGAAATAAATAAAGGAAACATCATCCGTTCATTCAGGTATGGTTGAGTCTGTGGCATTTTGATTTTATGACCTGAACTTCAGTTTTAGGTCATTTAATAAAGTTTTGAAGTCTCTGGACACAAAGGATTTGTACTCATTTGAAAGGAATGTTTCCATTCTAAGAAAGGTGATCCAGTACAATATGGAAATTATAAAACAGTATCATTAATATCACGTGCACGCTTGTTAATGCAGTATTTGCTCTTAACTGCTAAAGGTCACCCAAAAATGGCTAGGACAACACATTGACAGAGAACTGACAGAAATCTGCCTCTGGTTTCGAATCAGTCATGATGCCAGGAATACCACTGCTGTTGTCAGGTGGACCTCGCTGAAAGCAGAGTATCTGAAGAATGTCTATTTGAGTATTATTGACTGTGCAAAGACTTTTTGGATTCTAACAAACGATGCATAACATTAAGTAAAATAGGAATCTTAGAATTGAGAATCATGATCATAGGAAATCTATACCTAGACCAACATTACATGGTTTCAGATCAGCAAAGGTATGTATCAGGGTTGTATCGTTTTCCTATACCTGTTCAATCTGTATGTTGAGAAAATCATTTGAGAAGTTGGAATCTTTTAAGAAAAATGTGACATCAGGATTAGATAACTTGAGTTATGCAGATGATACAACTCATAATTCCTTCCATCTGAGAGCTAAATAATGAATAAGTATGACAGAAGAAGCTTTGAGTTAAAGGTGTTGGACAAGAGTGTCTCACAACGATAGTCCAGAGTAACAGGTGCATAACAAAGTGGTCTGGGGGTGGGAGAAGGGAAGAAATTGTGTAGCAATGAAAGAATCTTTTTAAAGAGAAAACTGTGCAACAATGAATGACTGGAAATCAAATTTTTATGTAATCTTTCATTAACATCAATTTTTAAAAAAAATTTTGTTTTATTATTTTTTGTGTGTGTACCATCAAATCATATCTCACTGGTACAAGAGGAGATTGCCCCTCCTTCTCCAGCAGAGCATCTGGTGGATTCAAACTGTGAACCTCTGGGATTGCCACTAGGTCACCTAAAATATCAATTTTTTTTAGATTATTAATTTTAGTAGACATTTACAGAGGTTTTGGATTTCCATTCATTCATTGCTGCACTTTTCTCCCTGCCCACCCCTCCCCACCAGCTCACTTCCCCCTCCGAAGAGAAAAAGAAAAAGAAAAAAAAATTCCTTCATTAGTATACAATTCTCACATCCCTTCCCCCAACCCCCCCCCACTTCTCTGCAACCTTAGTTCTGGATTCCTGTGCTAACCATAATACTCAATCATATATAAAAAGTGCCTAACAGATTGCCAAAAGAGCAAACAAGGCTGTCTTGGGGAAGTTTACTCAGAGTGCTCCTTAGAGGCAAAGATGGGGAAGTTTCCTCCCACATGCTTTTGTGGATATTGCTGGGAAGGGCAGAGAAAGAGAAGAAGACCATCAAGAAGGTGGATTCACACAGGGAATGGCTCAAAAGTGTCAGAGATGATGCGGATGGCACCGGATAGGATAGGGCTTAGATCTGTTGTACATATAGTCCCTATGGGTTGTATTGTTATTTATGGCACATAATATAACATTCAGAAAGGTTGGTGATTCAAACCCACCCAGCCTCACTGAACAAAACGTTTGTTGAACGCTGTTTACTTGGAACCATCTCATAGTTGACCGTCCATTGGATTTTCAGAGGCAATAAATTGCCCAGGGAAAAATTGCTCATCTTTCTGCTGCAGAGCAGATTACAGATTCAAATGGTATACTTTTAACTTCTTACTGCTAAGAGCTCCCTCTATAAAGATTACAGCGAAAACAACACTGTGGAGTTCTCTTTTGTAAGCACTTGGACAGAATCAGTTGTGTGGTGTTTTTTTTTAAAAGTTGAAGGCAAAAATTTATTAGCCAGGTATTTTGTGTTTATTATGTGCCATCGAGTCACCTGCAACTCATAAGGACGCTATGCAAACAGTCTGAAGCCTGCCCTGTCCTAAGCCAATCTCATCATCTCCAGTACACTTGCCCCCATTACCCAAAGTTTCTGTCTGAATCCATATCATCCAGGGTCGTCTTCTCCTGCGCTGTCCCTCCACCTTTCTTAGAATAATGATCCGTCTTGGCCATTTGTCTAAACTATGTGAGACAAAGTTTCTAAATTCTTACCTACACATGAGCTCAATCAAGTGTTCTGAGATTCCCATTCTTCTCAGAATTAGCCATATTTTGTTGTGATCCATACAGTCAAATATTTTTGGATAGTCAGTGAAATATAGACAGACATTCCTCCTATACTCTTTGCTTTCAGCCAAGATCGATTATGTCTGTAATACCACTGTTTCAGTCATTTTTGGATAATCTATAGCAGGATCATGCTTGTGTGGTATTAGTGACATTGTTCAATTATCCAGTTATATGTATGTTTTTAATTGAAGTTCATTGCCTCTGCTTTCTGAACGGAAATCTTTCTTTAACTCAAGCTTCCAATAAGAAATAATTTTATAGCATTATCTTGAATATACATACGTGTATATATTCAATACAAATACATACGTCTACTCAAACCCAAAGGTTCATCACCCACTTAGTAATTTGCATAGCATATGAGTCACATCCATCACTTGAGGGGGCTCAGGAAACTTTCTGTGAGGACCCATGAGCTTTTTCATATTCTTCTTTTTCAATTTTTCAACAACCCTTACAACCATTCTAAGCCTAAGGTTGTCACCAAATCTGATGCTGATTGAATTTCTCTAGTTGCCTGAGGTCTAGTGGTTGCAGACGCCTTGTACTAAATGGATGGACCATAGTAGTCAGTGTTTAAAGAACTTGACAGCTATTGAAAAGGTGGGATTTGAATGCACAACCGCTCTTTGGAAAAAAGACGTGGCCGTCTGCTTCTGTTGTCTGATTATTATTGTATGCTTTCGAGTTGAATCTTCTGTGACTCATCTTTACCCTGTGCACAACAGCTCAGAATCCTCCTCTATCCTCAGCCAATCTTGCTGCCTTTGACACACCTACCCTCATTATCTCCGTTTCTGTATCAATCCATCTCATCTGGGTCTTCTCTGAGGTGCTGTCCCTCTACCCTTCTAAGGATGATTTCCTTCTCCAAGGACTGGTCCCTCCAAGGTACATATGAAAAGTATGTAAGATGGGTCTTCAGAATTCTTGCATGTATTGAGCCCCTTGGTTTCACTTTCTCTAGGACTGACCCGTTTGTTCTCTCGGGGGTCTGCAGTATGTTCAATACCTTCACCACTCAAAGGCACTTGAATCGGGTGTACCTCAGTCTCTAGACTAATATCTTTGCTCTTTACCACTCTTGAGGTACCTGATAGCAGATTTTCCTAATTGCTGGTACAAAGAGTATTAATTATGTAATCGAGCAAGGTAAAATTTTTACACCCCAATCTCTTCATCTGTCGTGGTGCTGTCAGTTGACCCACTGGTGAGAATCTTCTTTTTTTCATGTTGAGCCATACTCCATTGGCTTAACTGTCAGATTCTCCAAACCTGCTTGTGCATCACTTTCTGGGCACATGCGTTTATTTGGAAAACCTCAGCATGTGATGTCTCCTCTGGAATCGTCTGTAATTGATTCTCTCCTACCTTCACACGTCTTCGCCCTGCTAAGAGGCTCTCTGACAAAAAGATTTAAATTTGTGGTTTACCATCGCTTTTTCTCTTAATTTTAGGTGTTAGAGGGATACATATGATATTTTTAAAATGTGCTTTTTTCCCCTCCCTAGCTTTGCCAATTTGAGAATCTACCCTCACGGATTGGTGTTGCTGGATCTTCAGAGTTATGACAATGACGCCGAAAGCAACAAAGAAATTGACAGTGTTGGTGGTTTTTGATTTTGCGTTAATTTATTCAAGTAGACTTTTTATTATAAGTATTTAAGAATCTTAGTTTAATTTTCTGTAATTACTTTAATTATGCTGATATTCTTGCAATTAATTGCCATTACGGACTGCCTAGTTAACAACACTAGACTTAGTGATCTCCCCCCTCCCAAACATTGTTCATTGTGGGTTTATTAAAGGCTACAATCCTTCTCTTCATTGTACGAATAATGCATAATAATTTTACTTTCTCATGGAGGAAATAGAAAACCTTTAACTGAAATTTTTAAGTGGGGTGTTTTTTTGTTATTGAGGAAATGGTGTTGGTGAGAAAGTTTTGGCTGTTAAAATCCACTAGAACCTCTGATGAAGAAAGATGGGCAATCTCCTCCCATGTGATTAATAGCCTTGGAAACGAAATAGAGGATTAGCTATAAGTCAGTTCCAAATCAACATCCATCAATTTAAAGAAAATGCATGACAGAATTTAGCATTTGAATGTGCAGTTCTGAGGCCTTCAGTATATTTTTAGTGTTTCATAAGTTCTCAATGCTGCTTCAAGCCCTTCTTATTGTCTGACACCAAGACTAGACCCATTAAGCAATACTTCCTTTTAAAAACCTTTAAAACTCAGATGCTTTGTGGGTACCTTAGACTGGTGTAAGGTCAGCACTGACAAGAAGTTATTTGATGAGGGTTCGTGGCTTTGCGCCAACCAAGAGGACACATACAGGTGAATCTGCATCTCTTTCAGCAGTGCACAGCTCTGTCAACATGACCTCAGTAGTCTGCTCTTGTAATGTAGTGATTCTACTCATCCTCTTTTATAAGCCTATTGATTTTTGTCTTTTCCCTTCAATTGCAGCTTTTGAACAAAGTAGAAGAAAAAATGAAAGCACTGAATCAGGACAGTACTGCGAGGGTGAAGCGGTAAGTGTCCTTCTGACTGGCGTATTGTGCCTGTTGAAGAGGTAAGGCCATTGGAAAGTCCTGGCTGTGGCCAAGTACTGTGAACATAAGGTGTGGGTGAGAGAAAAAAAAACAAGTTGCTGGTGTCAGCACAGGATGGATTGAGCTATTGGGACCTTCACACAGTAAAGACACAGTGTGAACACACTCATGTACAAATGCAGGTTAAAATGAAGCATGAGCAGTGGTGTGAGTGCAGGCTGCTGACCCTGCCAGGATCAGTACCTCAGGCAGAAGGCAGGGTTAGGGTTAGGGTTAGGGTTAGGAATCAAATCATATGACGTTGGATTGGCAGTACAACTCTACTAACCTAGAGCGCCGAGGTTCCTAAATTGATAATAGTAATGCCACAGTCCAGTGAGGGGTTCTAGCCTGACGCCTTGTAAAGAGTTAGGTTGACCTCTTGGCAGAGAACTAGCACCTTATTCTCTTTTGTGAGCCTGGTATCTACCTAGGTAGTCTTACTTTATATACTGATTAGAAAACTGAGGCTAATAAACTTAAATAAGGTCACATCTGGAAAAAAAGATTGAAAGTAGTGTTAGGAGCTACCACTCCTCAGTCATTTATTTAACTGGTTATAAGAAGTTTTTCCAGCTTCCATCTCCTCTTTGGGACCAGAGGGCTATGATTAGGTAGAAGCAGATTAAGGGCTGAGCTGTGTCCAGGTGGGTGGGGGAGCAATTGGAAGAAGCAGCTCAGTGCTTAGTGGAACAGTTGATACAGGACTGGTTTAGGTTATTTGGGAAAGGTTTTTTTTTTTTTTTTTTTTT